TTGACTCTTTAACAAAGTGTTGACTTCCACTGTGGCAAATCATAAGCCACATCAGCACACACACACACACACATATATATATATATATGTGTGTGTGTGTGTGTGTGTAATTCATTATATATACAATAGTTGTAAGGAAAACTCTCCAATTTTGAAGCAAAATTTATATTATTTATTAAAATTTTATCTATGTGACATTATGCCTCATCAGTTCATTTAAACATTACTAATAGAAATAAATACTTGGGAGAAAGACTCGGGAGAAAGACTTGACCACTTTGTTTTGATTCTGTCGTTTAAAATTCTAGGAAAGACCCTTTAAAAGAAAGATATTTGTTAATAACATTTAAATATCTTATGTGCAAAGACAAAAAGGCTCTCTATATGATGTTGAATAATGCAAACTTTATTACTTCCACATTTGTGGGATGTTTATGCTTATTTGTACTCAAATCTATTTAAAACAAAGTATTGATTGTTTCAAATAACCAAGACTTTCCTGAACTCAACAAAAAAAATCAAATCCCAAAAAATTGGTTTATCCAATATGATTGTACCAACCCAATTAAGTCCCCAATTGCCAAATTAACTGTATGGTAAATGGACTTATGAGAATTTGGACAGCCTTCCCTTACAAGTTAGTTTTTAAGGGTGAATTATATCTAATATGCGCGTACTATAACAATTGGTATCAGAGTAGGTGATAAAAACTGAAAATGTCTCTTAGAAGTTGTTGAATGAGAATCTAGGTATCTAGATAACATGACAATTGACTTGGTTTCATCTGTCATATCGCCATTTTCCAAGCAATTGCCGCTTCTGTATATATAAAACAAATAGACTTTCTGCCTACATACATAAAACAAAATATACCGATACCAAATAGATTCTTTCTTGCTTGTAAGTAGGGTTCAATACAATGATCTTTAAGTTACAGCCTGGAAACTTGTAACTTAGTAGACCAATTGTCTGAAGACAATTGAATGAATTGATCTATCTTTTTCAGGCTACAATTACATCTTTACTGTTGTTATCAAATCATGTATTCTAAACAATAATGTTATATCGTAATTGCTGTGGTAATATATACATGGATAAGAACCGTTTAATCCATTTGAACCAAAGAGTCATAATAATCAATCTACGTTTATCCCTGATTATTCTTTTCGATACTAGCTACGAGAATGATGGAGAAGTTAAAGAGTTTCCCTATGCCTTGCTTGCTGATTTTACTCTTGCAGTACTGAATCACGCTCAGGATCAAGGGTAGCTTACTGACTGAGGTCAATAATGATCTAATATCCTGTAAAAAAAATGGAAAAAAAGTAATAGTACGATCATACTACATTAATAATGATTCATATCATATCATAAGTAACTGTATTTAACTCGTCTGGTTTGAATTTCGTCAATCTTCATAATTAATTTGATCTTAACGGTCGAGTAAGAGTTCTAGTAGTCACCCATATTAGGGACCGTAGAAACTTGAACTCAAGAGACTATTTTAGATCATCTTTTGCTCTTTTGCCATCAAACTATCCAGCGATGGTTAAACTCTCTTCTCATGCAAAAGATTTTAATCTCTTGTTCAAACTAAAAATCTTCTTTTTTAATTATTGTACATATAATCAATCAATTATTAGGTGTCAAGTAACGTGTATAATACATATACATACATCTTATGATTGATTAATTAGTTTTCTCATGCAAAATTTATTAACGGGAATTTCTCATGCTTATGTTTTACCATTGACCTGAGACCCAGTCAATACTCCCACTTAGGGTGTTATCGAGCCGAGCCGAGTCAAGTTTTTGGCTTAACAAGCTCGGCTCGTGAAAGAGAAAGACTAAACGAGCCGAGCCGAGCCATAAATTATATGATTCAGCTCGGCTCGATAATAGTTTTGAGTTTTGACATATTTCAATCCGGCTTATCGAGTCGAGTTCGAGCCAGCTTGCAAGCCAACTCCAAATAATTCTATTTTTTTTTTTTTAAATCTGCTAGGCAGCAACTGCGCGTCTGATTGTCTGCCAGCTTTTAATTCAATTTTTTTTAATTCATTTTTTTTAAGATCCGACGAAGAATATGTCTACCATGGCCGATGATGATTCTTCAACTTGGTTAGGATTCAAAGTAACTCCCATACTTATTTTAATGGTGTGGTATGGGCCGTGTGGCCAAATCAGATAAAAAGCAAACATTTTACTTGTTTTTGCTTTTTTGGTGAATGACGAGGCCGTTTGATTCCTTCATCTATAACTTTAACCTTTATAAACTCAACACACCTTCTAACAAACCAACCCCAAACAAACAACCATCGAAGATGATGAAGATCCGACGAAGAAACCCCGTGCTCACCGATTAAAGTCTGACGAAAATCCCACAAAGATGATGACAATCAGACGAAGATGATTCAGATCTGACGAAGATGACGAAGCTCAGACGAAGATGAAGAAGACGAAGTTTCGACGAAGATCCAATGAAGATCAGACGACGATGAGGAAGATCCCGCGAAGCTGACGAATATGAACAAGATCCCACGAAAATGCGAAACATATTTGGCTGAAGATGAACAAAATCATTAGTTTGGGTCTTTGGGAGGAGTTTGATTCAAACTTTGATGGCAAGGGTTCTACTGGTGAAGGGTTTCGACGATTGGGGATTTTAATAACGGGGTCATTTTGTTATTTTTAAAACTTGTATTGCATTATTTTCATTAAATCCCAATAGTTCAGAAATTCTCAAAAAAAAACCCTGGTATCTCGAGCCAGGCTTGGCTCGCGAGCCTAACGAGCCGAGCCTAGCATGGCTCGAACTCGGCTCGTTTTGTACAACGAGCCGAGTCGAGCCGGCTCATTATCAGACGAACCGAGCCATTAACGAGCAGGACTCGAGCCGAGCCGAGCCGGCTCGCAAGTGGCTCGGTTCGTTAAGCAGCCCTACTCCCACATATTAATTAACTGTACTTCTCAAGAGGTAGACCTCTAACAGTGTCTAGTAACGTATATAATACATATACATGCATCTTATGATTGAATAATTAGTTTTCTCATGCAAAATTTATTAACGGGAATTTCTCATGGTTATGGTCTAACATTGACCTGAGACCCAGTCAGTACTCCCACACATTAATTAGCTGTACTTCTCAAGAGGTAGACCTCTGATGGACTCACTATATTTAAAATTTTTGTGTTCAATGTATAGACTACGAGTCAACTTGCCCGCTCATGGGTGGAGTCATCGCTTGCTAGTCTTCCGCATTCTCAATTACGTTCATTGCTTAGAAATTTCGTATGTTTATTTCATGTTTTATTTTCCATCTAAGTATTTTAGAATAGGATTTTAACTAGCCTAGGCTCCGTTTGATTCACTATTATGATACTTTTTAGAATAGTATTTTGAAAAAAGTAAAATTGAATTATCTTTATGAGAAAGGTAATTATTAATGTTTTGATAATTGGATTTTGAGAATATTGAAACAAATATATTTTTAGGGTTTCAGGATAGGATAAGATAATAATAGTGAATCAAAGGGGCTCCTAAATAGTGGTATATGGTGTGAAAAAATAGAAACCTGAAGAGAGAAATAGTCAATGGGTTGGTTTAGCCTAACCCCTTATTGCATTCCCACAAAATATACCCGTACCAAATATATTCTTTCTTGCTTGTAAGTAGGGTTCAATACAATGATCTTTAAGTTACAGCCTGGAAACTTGTAACTTAGTAGACCAATTGTCTGAAGACAATTGAATGAATTGATCTATCTTTTTCAGGCTACAATTACATCTTTACTGTTTTTATCAAATCATGTATTCTAAACAATAATGTAATATCGTAATTGCTTTGGTAATATATACATGGATAAGAACCGTTTAATCCATTTGAACCCAAGAGTCATAATAATCAATCTACATTAATCCCGGATTATTCTTTTCGATACTAGCTACGAGAATGATGGAGAAGTTAAAGAGTTTTCCCTATGCCTTGCTTGTTTGTCTTATTCTTGCAGTACTGAATCACGCTCAGGATCAAGGGAAGCTTACTGACTAAGGTCAATAATGATCTAATATCCTGTAAAAAAAAATTGAAAAAAAGTAATAATACGATCACAGTACATTAATAATGATTCATATCATATCATAAGTTAATGTATTTAACTCGTCTGGTTTGAATTTCGTCAATCTTCATAATTAATTTGATCTTAATAACTAAGTAAGAGCTCTACTAATCACCCATATTAGGGATCGTAGAAACTCGAACTCAAGAGACTCTGTTAGATCCTCTTTTGCTCTTTTGCCATCAAACTATCCAGTGATGGTTAAACTCTCTTCTCATGCAAAAGATTTTAATCTCTTGTTCAAACTAAAAATCTTCTTTTTAATTATTGTACATATAATCAATCAATTATTAGGTGTCAAGTAACGCGTATAATACATATACATACATCTTATGATTGATTAAATAGTTTTCTCATGCAAAATTTATTTACGGGAATTTCTCATGGTTATGGTTTAACATTGACCTGAGACCCAGTCAATACTCCCACATATTAATTAGCTGTACTTCTCAAGAGGTAGACCTCTGATGGATTCACTATATTTAACATTTTTGTGTTCAATGTATAGACTACGAGTCAACTCGCCCGCTCATGTTTGGAGTCATCGCTTGCTAGTCTTCCGCATTCTAAATTACCCTCCTTTTACGTTCATTGCTTAGAAATTTCATATGCAATGTCAGCTTCCTGGAAATATATTTCATGTTTTATTTTCATGCTGATATGTGCAGTACAGTACAATGATATTGAAGTAATAGCTTAAACTTGAAATTTGATCACCAATTGACTTGTTCAGACAATAAGTCTTGTCTTTTTCAGTGCAGCATATAATGTCGTTCATAATCTAAATTAATACCCTTAATTATTATTAATGTTACTGATACACTAATTAACTTTGCTGTATATATATGAAGTCATGATCCACTTATATTTCACATAAGAAAAAACAAACTATATAAAAAAGAGATAGGATGGTGGAGAAGTTACAGAGTTTCCACTATGCTTTGCTTGCTGGTTTCACTCTTGCTGTTCTGATTCATGCTCAGGATCAATCAGGTGTGAACTTGTCTGCTTATATTACCGATATATACCTGATATTTGTAATCTGAAACTGACATATGGAAAGTTTATATTAGATTAATGTAAATTTAAGTTCTAACCAATTTGTTCTCTGTTTTTCTCAGGATTCATTAGCATAGATTGTGGCTTACCAGAAGGTTCGGACTATACAGATGATGTTACTGGCATAAAGTATACTTCAGATAAAAACTTCACAGATACTGGAATATCATGGAATATAACTTCATCAAGAAAGACAATTTCTGATGTGAGAAGTTTCCCTGAAGGTAACAAAAACTGTTACACCCTGAATCCTGCTCAAGGAAAAAACGGTAAGTATTTAATCAGAGCCCGCTTCATGTATGGAAATTATGACTGTCTAGCTAGTGTGCCACGGTTTGATCTGTATATTGGGGCTAATCACTGGGAGACAATAAGTTTGGAGAATGCTTCCAGTATTTTAACCACGGAGATCATACATGCTCCTTCAACAGATTATATATTTGTCTGTCTTATTAATAAGGGCCTTGGAGTACCATTCATTTCAGCACTAGAGCTTAGGCCTCTGAATAGTTCGCTTTACGAGACAGAATCTCCAACTGAATCACTTGTACTCCTAGGACGATATGACTTTGGCCCTACAACGAATCAACCAGTGAGGTAAAATCTTAGAATATAATTTCATATTTATGAAGCGAAATATAACTTTTTTTTTCTTTTTTTGGCTTAATTAATGATACAAGTATCTCCTGAATAGGTACATCGACGACATATATGACCGCATTTGGACGCCACAAAGCAATCCTGATTTGAAAATTTTGAGCCCCTCGATCACCGCTGATACCCGAGATCTGGATTCTAGCACCTTTCAAGCACCAATTTCTGTCATGAGTACTGCCGTGACACCAGAAAATGCTGATGAGAACTTGAACTTTTCCTGGGAAATTGGAGATCCAAATTCCAGATATTATAGTTACAAGTACTTTGCTGAAGTTGAATTCTTTGACAACCAGACCAGAGAATTTGATATCTACGAAAATGGGGATCTGAAATCTAAAGCTGTTAGTCCTAGTTATTTATTGACAGAAACCACCTACACCACAAAGCCATTCGCAGGAGAAAAATTAGAGCTTCAAATCAGAAAAACTCAGAGTTCAGACCTTCCACCCATTATTAATGCCATTGAGATCTACAAGGTCAAAGATTCCTCACGATCCCAAACACTCCAAACTGATGGTATGCTGTACTTAATTTAACATATGTTTTTCATATCAAATACATGATTTGGTTTACTTCCTCGTTTTATTTGCTTGAGTTGGAAATCGATTCCAATCACTTGTTTTTTATAATGTGAAAATTTCAGCTGATGCTATTGTGCAAATAAAATCAACCTATCAAATCAAAAAAACCAGCTGGCAAGGTGATCCATGTACCCCTGAAAAATACAGCTGGGAAAGCCTTAATTGCAGCAGCTATGTGGATAATATTCCTCCTAGAATCATTTCCCTGTAAGTCAACTTTTTTTCATAAGAACTGCAAATCGTATAATCTCTGTTTAATAAATATTCTCCATTCTAGGGACTTGTCTTCGAGTAGATTGACAGGGGAAATATCTCCATTCTTTGCGGATTTGACATTTCTAGAAGATTTGTAAGTAGTCTACCTTACATTAGAAATCTAATTAGTAAATCTTTCATTTATCAATATTTAGCTATTAACTCGTTGGCACCATAATTTCTAGCAGCTACTTGAGTTTTGCCTCTCACCACTAACATTGAACAAAAATTGCTGGATACAGGAATCTATCAGATAATAACTTAACTGGAGCAGTGCCTGATTTCTTATCTCGACTGCCATCCTTGAGAGTCCTGTAAGTTACTGACTTCGTTTGACAAAGGGCTTAACAGGGAAAACATATTAAGGGGCCATTTTTATTTTTATCTTATTACTTTCCAGAAACTTGAAAGGAAACAAGTTCACAGGATCGGTTCCAGCTGAACTCAAGGAAAGGTCGGACAATGGATCACTTGTATTAAGGTTTGCCTTTTCTCATAAACCATCAAACATTTATGAGATCATAAATTATCTACACGATAATCACAAAAAGAAAAAAAAAAAAAAAAACGTCATAAAAAAATCAAATCAATGAATAGTTATAAATAAGCCGGAATCATGTGACAATAAAATAGCAATGTTAAGTCCCCAAGTAAAGTTTGTTTACGAAATTTGTATGTATATTACTATTACTCATCTTACATATATTTTCATGTTTGTTATTTAAAGTTCTACTTTCTAATTTGTTGTCAATAAATTGATGCAAGTTTGGACGACCTGTCTTCTTCAAGCCAAAAAAAGAATGGGTTTGTTATTCCACTAGTAGTGTCAGTTGCTGCAACATTCTCCGCACTCATAATTGGATTGGCTATCTTCTGCAGTCTTAAGGCAAGGAGAAAGCATGGTAAGATTTTCATAAACATAGAACATATTAAAAAATATATACTATGATAATAACGGACACTACTTGTTTTAATTTCTTAATAGATATTTACTACTTATTAAAGTTGATATGATATTATCAGTTGTTTCAGAGGTGGAAACCCAACTAGCAAGTAAAAATGATTCATTTGCATCAAAACATTGGCGATTTGCATATTCTGATGTCATAAGAATCACCAAGAACTTCGCAACAGTTCTTGGTAGAGGAGGATTTGGAACAGTTTATCACGGCCGCATAGATAATATTGAAGTAGCTGTGAAGATGCTCTCTCCATCATCCGCCCAAGGTTACAAAGAATTCCACGCAGAGGTATCCTGCAGAGTAAATTATCATTCATCATGAAAATTAAAATTATGAAGAAAATAACATTTCTGATAATAGCATGTGGCTTCGAATTGCAGGTTGAACTTCTGATGAGAGTTCATCATAGAAATTTGATTGCACTCGTTGGCTACTGCATTGAAGGCTTCAATATGGGGCTTATTTATGAGTACATGCCTAGGGGGACCTTGGAGCAACATTTGGCAGGTCACACACTTATATCAATACCCTCAATGAATAAATAGAAATTTATAATTTCATTTTAGTAAAATTTTCATTGATCATATACAGGTAATAAAAATCAATATTTCTTGAGCTGGGAAGAAAGAATGCAAATAGCATTGGATGCTGCCCAGGGTTAGTGATGGCACAATATATCAGTTTTTTGTTTGTTGCTTATAAGATTTATTTAGGAATTATGATATCAAGTTTATATGTAGGCTTGGAGTATCTGCACAATGGTTGTAAGCCACCAATGGTCCACAGAGATGTGGAGCCTTCAAACATCTTATTGAATGAAAAGTTGCAAGCCAAGATAGCTGATTTTGGCCTATCCCGTGTATTTTCAACTGAAAGTAGCACTAGTATATCAACCGCTGTTGCTGGCACCGCGGGATACCTTGACCCAGAGTAAGTACTTAAGCAATGGGGGGGTGACACATGTTTCAATTTGCGTAGTAATTAGACTGTAATGGCGTATCTTTCACCTTTAGCGATGTCGTTTTTGCATCGAAAAAGATGAAAGTTCTTGTGGTGTAACTTGGTTTCATTCCTGAGACTTGTGTTAATTGATTTGAAGGTTTCATAATATCAGATTCTTTGGTTATGTGCAGGTGCTTGGTTGTGTCTAGCCGGTTGACTGAAAAGAGTGATGTCTATAGCTTCGGACTTGTTCTTTTGAATATAATCACATGCCAACCGGTAATACTGAAATCCTGCGGAAATACTCACATAAGTGAGTGGGTAAAATCAAGGCTCGCAAGGGGGGATATTAGAAAAATAGTTGATCCCCGTTTAGGGGAAATTTTCAACATTAATTCAGCGTGGAAAGCTGTGGAACTAGCACTAGCTTCTGCTTCTCACGCTTCCTCTAAAAGGCCAACCATGACTGAGGTAGTGATGGGATTGAAAGAGTGCTTAGCAATACAACTTGGTCAAAATGATTACGCCAATGCCACAGTAATTAACGGCGCTCGTCTGGATTCTGAATTTGCTCCCTTAGCAAGGTAGTATAGCATTATTTAATTTCTTTCTAGGAATCTTGTGGATCTTTGAATTGGTGTAGTTCAATCCCTATAACAATCATAATATTTTCCATCTTTGTTGGATCCGGGGAAGATGAATGGAGATGGATTGTGTTGGTTTCGTTTTGTTTCTCAAATATGGATCTGAGTAAAGTATTACTGTTTTATCATGTAGGAGTCTATTAATTGTCAAAATCAATTTCTAGCTCACTCTTATATCTAATTAGCCTTGTAAACGAGCCTTAGACTTAACTAGAGTTAAGCTCAAACTCAAGTAGCTCGTGTGTTGAATCGAGCCGAGTTCGAGCATAATAATACTCAACTCAAGCATTTCGCGAGCTTACTTGAATTTGACATATTATAAATATTTTAATTTTATATATAAATTAAAATTATTATCTATATTAATAATTATATAATTAATAATTGTAATAGAGTTGAATTCCAGTCGATCATATATATATATCGAGCTCAAGCTCGAGCTCTAGCTCGACAATTGAAGCTTGGTCGAGCTAGAGTTCGAGTTCGAGCTTCTCAATACTTTGCTCAGCTCGATTGTAGTACTAATATCTATTATACTTGTTAGTTGGGATTTAAACCCTTCTTGATTGATACATTGAAGACAAAAATTCCATCTTATGTGTATTTCACTGATCCTTCTAACTAAACAAGTGGAATTTAAAATTACTTTGACTTGTTAATGGTGTTGTAGCAAATTTATTCCGAAGAAGATTTTATTGAGATCATTAATAACATAAAGTAAATGTGCCAGTTCAAACTCCTTGGTCTTCTATTAATACATCCGTTTATGTATTACTCCTTTTCTTTTTTTTTTTTTTTTTTTTTTTTTTTTTTTTTTTTTTTTTTTTATTGTCAGAACTGACCGAGTCAAGCTATATAATAACCTACTTAGATAGCACTAGAATTTTAATTAGTTTATTTAGCTAATATAATAGAAACAAAGTTGGTGCATTAATATACATTAAAAATGACAATTGCATTTTCTTTCGCAGCATGTACATCTACACAATTTACGTTATAAAATTGCTTGTTGGTCTAAGAAGTCAGACCACATATAATATTGAAATTAGTGTTTTAGATTGTTTAATTAGCAGATTTAGACATGGACCATATGATAATAAATATTTTTGTTTTTATTTTATAACGTTCATTGTCATTCTTTGCAACATGAATTTTATTTAATACATGTTAATTACTTTTACTTTACTCTAAATTAACCTTCACATATATATTAACTGGAATAATATTACATATATAAACCATTAATTCAAATTATTCCCCATAAACTGATGTGAGAATCTTGTATGTTTGTCATGTAATATTGTTTAATTATTTAATTTATTTTTAAATTTAAAGTTATCCAATCATCTTAAATTTATTTACTTAACAAAAAATAATAATAAAAAGCATTATCCATATTAACTGTGACAATAAAACTATTGTTTTACCAGGTACTCTGGGTCGCATATATAATTAATATATTATCACCATTGTCAGGATATATCGTAAAATACATTGTGTGTGAATGTTGTTTACGAAATCAGCTCCTGTAATCAGAATAGTTGTTCAATATTTTTAGCTGGCTAATTGTCATCACTACACAGTAATACCTTTGGAAATTAATTAACAGCAAATCACTAATTATGGCGAAATGGATTTGGAAAGCCTTAAAGAGAGAATTTAAAGTGTTCATCACCAACCAAGTAGTGGCCTAGTGGATCGATGTGACTAATCAGTATAGAATCTCTTGGAGTACCCAAAGTCAAACATTATAATATTTCGTTAATTTCTTCTCCTGAGGACTTTGGTTATCAACTTGAAAAATACAATACCCAAAAAAAAATAATAATAATTAGGTAATTAGCACACCAACGAATAGTGAATAGGATTTTTTTTTTTTTAATATGGTGTCCAAACTAGCTTGCACGCATATTTACTAATCTCTGTAAGTAATTAACACAGTATGTCACCGCTATGATAACTTACTTAAATTTTAGGAGCTAGGAGGATTTAAACCTAAGACTGTGCACCTTAACCACATATCTCAACGCTCATACTGGACAAATAGTGAATAGATGGGCAATATCATTATTGAAAAATAATCATCTCAACTTTCATTTCTGAATCTTTTTTTTGTTAACATTAACTTTCATGGATGATGTAAGTCAGAACTAGCTAATAATTTTGATGGTTTCAGCCGAGAACATACAGAGAGAGAGAGAGAGAGAGAGAGAGAGAGAGATGAAACAGAGCACCCCAAAACGTATTTGCAAAAAGCACTAGACTTTTCATTAAAAAGACAATATGTAACACATATCCACTCTCTGCTAATTACACCAACTACAACAAAAGTTACAGCTTTCAAATTCAAATTTCAACACAACATTACAGTAAACTTACTTCTAATGAACTTACTTAAATACCCTTTAAACAACGAGATAACCAATTACACAAAAACTCCCATGCACAATAAGACATTGCTGCATGAAACATTCTGCATTTTCCAGAACACAATCCTACAGACTTGAGTATTTGATGCATTTCCAGCATGGTATCCCTACATCAACACTCCCCCTTGATGCATTTGCTGGAAACACCAAGTTTGAGTCTAAGATCCTCAAACTTGGCTTTAGGCAAACTCTTAGTCATGATATCTGCAATCTGATCCACACCCCAGCAGTGCATCAAAGTCACTTCACCATCATTTTCAGCCTCCATAACTGCATGAAATTTAATCTTAATATGTTTGGTCCTACTGTGGAGAACTGGATTCTTTGCCATTGCCACTGCTGATTGATTATCACACAATATAAGTGTTGGCCTAACTTGTTCCTGCTTCAAATTAGACAGGATTTTTCTAAACCAAGCAGCTTGGCTCACTACTGCTATGGCAGAAATGTACTCTGCCTCTACAGTGGACTAAGCCACCGAGTCTTGATTCTTCGACAACCAACCAATGGCACCTTCATTGATTTAAAACACGTACCCAAAGGTACTTTTCATGTCATCTAAGGAACCTCCCTAGTCATTGTCTGTGTATCCCTGTAGAACCAATTTTTTGCTCTCTTAAACCAAATGCCCAGGTTTGAAATTCCTTTCACATTCCTTAACACCCTCTTTGCTGCCCTATAATGAGATTCACTTGGACAACTCATAAATCTAGAGAGGTAACTTGCTGCAAACATTAGGTCTGGACGTGTGGCTGTTAAGTACAGCAAACATCCTACCATACCTCTAAACATACTCTCATCTACTCCTTTTTCACCATCATTTTTGCTCAACTTCAGGTTAGAGACTAAAGGTGTATCTGCAGGTTTACAATTCTCCATCCCAAACTTTATGAGGATTTCATTTGCATACTTTTCCTGATGCACAAATATTCCACTTTTGGACTGAAAAATCTGCATACCAAGAAAATATGACATCTCCCCAAATCTATCATCTCAAATTCAGATTGCATGGACTGCTTGAACATCCTTAACTCGTCTGGATTACTCCCTGTCATCAGCAGGTCATCCACATACAATGACACAACAATTAAATCACCCTCAGCTTCTTTAACATAAAAGGTATGTTCATTTGGACTTCTTACATAGCCTAGACTATTAAGGTAATCATTTATGCGGCTGTACCAGGCCCTATGTGCTTGTTTTAGACCATACAATGCCTTTTCCAGCATGTACACCTTGCTTTCTTCACCCTTCACCTGGTAGCCATAGGGTTGGTCCACAAAAATCTCCTCTTCCAGGCAGCCATTTAGGAAGACAGATTTGATATCAAGTTGGAAGATTTTCCAACCAAATTGGGCTGCCATGACTATGATCATCCTTATAGTGTCATGTCTTGCTACCGGAGCAAATGTATCAGTGTAATCCACCCCTTGCTGTTGTGCAAATCCTTTTGCCACGAGTCTAGCCTTGCGTTTGTGGATTGTACCATCCAGATTGAGCTTTAATTTATAAATCCATTTTACCTGAATTATTCTTCCGTTTTCAATTCTTTCAAATAACCTCCATGTGTTGTTCTTCTCAATCATGGAAATCTCCTCCTGCATAACACTCTTCCAAGCCTCTGATCCAGCAGCTTCAACATATGTTTTAGGTTTTGACACAGCCACATTGCACCTTGCATAAACATCAGTCAAGGTCCTGGTTCCACGAACTGCTGGTTTCATCTGCTGGTATTTCATCTTCTTCAGTTTCAAGTTCATCTAGAGCAACTCTGGTTGGTTGTTGTGTGTTATAGTCAGGAACAATCTTCTTGCTCTCCCAACACCAAACCGCATTCTTATCAATTCTCACATCCCTAGTGATCACAATTCTTTTTGTCTCCGGAATGTACACTCTGAATCCTTTTGATTGGTTGCTATAACCAATGAAAATACCAACTTCAGCTTTGTTATCCAGCTTGGTCCTCTTCACTGCTGGAACCATCACATAGCACACACTTTTAAACACTCTCAAATAGCCAATTGTAGGTTTAGTTCCAGTCCATGCCTCAGCTATTGTTTGCCCCTTGACTGCTTTGGTTGGCAGCCTATTCAGGAGATAAACTCCCGTATTTACAGCCTTAGCCTAGAATTTCTTAGGGAGATGTTTTTCTGCCAACATGCATCTAGCCATCTCCATGATGGTCCTGCTTCTTCTTTCACTTACTCTATTTTGCTGTGGAGTGTATGTAGTAGTGAATTGATGCCTAATACCAGCTTCTAAACAAAGAGAAATGAATTCCCTTGAAGTATACTCTGCTTCGTTGTCAGTTCTCAATGATTTGATATTTGTTCCAGCTTCATTTTCTACTAACAGTTTGAATTTTCTAAACACTGCAGGAACCTCACTTTTCTACTGTAAAAAATACACCCATTTCATCCGTGTATAATCATCTATAATGAGTATGAAATACTTGCTTCCACTCAAGGATTCTGTTTGCATGGGACCACAAAATCTTAATGAATCAGTTGAAGCTTCATTGTTGCTCTCCAGGTCTAATCCGTAGGAAACGCAGGTCTGCTCAATTTTCCAATTTGGCATGCACTGCACAATGTGCTTTTCTCCTCAATTTCTGGCAGGTCACTAACCATGTTTGCATTCTTCAACTCTTTGAGGCCATTATAGTTGTAATGTCCAAGCCGTTTGTGCCAAGTTTCTGACTCTTCCAATCTACTTAACAGGGCAGAATCATTAGTGGTTTTCCACTCAACCGGGAAGCTTTTC